GGCAAGATTCATTTTCGTTCAAATGAAAGCATTTATTCATTTCTAAATATTTTTCATTTCTTGAAGACGAAAAATTCATTTTTAAATAATTAAACTAAATTTCAATCCCTATCCTATTCTTTGGTCGAGAAGTAAAAAAGGATTTTGAACAACTTATTTAATAACATAATTCATATTATATTCCTTCATCCACTTGTAAAATGTCATGTTTTTTTCTGAAAGAGTAAGAAATTCATCCGAATCAAAAATAATATTTGCGCAAATTGTTGTAAACCTCCTAGATAATTACCCTTAAAATTAGTGTAAAAAAAAATTATAAGGAATTTATTTTTGAGTAAAATAACTGGATACGTTTAACCAATTTTCAAGACCAGTTTCAATTAAAAGATCAAAATGATAAGTATTAATATTTTCTAAGGAAATGGTACCACCGTAAATATATCTACGTAGATTTTATAATATAAACAGATTAATATTATATTTAATATTACATTTGAACGCTGTTAAAAGAAACCTGAATTTGGTTTTTTAACTTAATAACTTATCAGCTCAGCCGATAAGTTATTAATTTAAAAAATCGAAGCCAGGTTTACTTTAATTTATTAATACTTACTTTATGATTATATCGAATGCTTTAAAGCATTTTATTTATTTTTTTAAGACTGAATCTAAACAAAACTTTAACTTTTGAATAAATTCAGCTTTTTCCTTTTCACCGCCACTTTCTTCAATGCTCCAATACTCGTTGCGTGTTCTCTCCATTAACTCATTTACTATAAGTCTTCTATTTTCCGCTGCTTTGTCGATTTCATTTTTTTCAGGAAATTCTATCCTTACTAACTCACGATGTTCATAAATTTCGAATCCACCTTCGTCAAACATTTGTTGAAATTGTTTCCAAGCTTTAGCTGTCAGCAATTTCCTGGGACCATACATTTGCTCGTGGAGAATATGCTTGCAAGGAAGCATGTATTTGCGAAAAAAAAGACAATGACATTCAAGTGACAACAAGCCAGGCAATCCTTTACCTTTCTCTATCCTATCGTTAAGAGCAAGAACTTCGTTGATTATTAATTTCTGAATAGGAAAAGAAAACTTATGAATTTCTTTAAGAACATCGTCTTCAACACCAATGGCAGAAATTTTTTTAACATGAAATTCGAACGTGACATAATCAGAATCTGATCATTTTTTCAGATCAAGTGCAACAATCTTATTGCATGCACCGATCAGACCATATTGAGGTGAGGTTGTTCTTTTTAACTCGCTATGATATGACTCCAGAGCATTTGTCGATGTTATTTGTAAAAGTAGTGGAGAGTGCTAGCAGGCCCATAGGGCCCACTGGTGAGTATTTTCCGAATAATATCTTGAGATGTATTTTTTGACGGGAGAAAGGGTACATTCATTAATTGCTTTTTGAACAAACATATCACAACCAACTTTTGTTCATTTATGCATGGCTTGAATCATTTTGGATCAAGTTTCTGATTCGTATATTTTATTTATCCATGTCCGCATAATGTGTACAGTACAAAAAATAATGTCACATTCTTGTTCACCTTTGCTAAGGCCCGGGAAGACTGTCATAATACTTTTTGCCTCTATACTGCTTTGATCCACCAAAAAATAATGAGGTTTCCAGGTGCTACAAAATCGTCTAACAATAACTAATACTGCTGCAACGTTAACACTATTTTCATTGCTAACGAAAAAATGTCCACCGACGTCCCAGCAGCCATACCATCCCGAACATACAGCGTAAATAAACACCAGTCATATTTATTGGTCTTATGGGTTGAATCTATGAGGGTTAACCATCCATATCGCTGAAGCTTTTCAAGTTGTTTTGGATGCGTAAAAACAAAACCAGAGGTGAATTGGCGAGAAGTTTTATACGATTCAACTTGATAACCTTCCTTTTTTAAAAAAGAAATTATATCTTGGATATCTGGTGCTAGTTTAAAAGTGCCAATAAGATAAGTGTTTTGTGGTTCACAGACTTTGTACTTTATATTGGCAACTTCCCTCCACTTTAATTCCTTTACACTCATGCCAAGATCCAGCTTCTCAGATGCATACTCTTTAACTGCATTTACTATTGCAGGTGTAGAATAATTTTTCACTGCCTCCTTTTCTACTAAAACTCTAATGGCCTGGGAACATTTAAGCTTGTTACTTTCATTCAAATCATGCGCATGGTCCAAGAAACCTGAGAACCGTTCAACACACACTTTTTGCTCGACAACAAACTATGATACCTTTATTTTTGCATGGCATAATTCTGCTTCTCGAACCTTGGTTTTCTGTCATTTTTCACTTGGAATGCCTTCTTTACGCATACTTGATTCAAAGTGTTTGGCAAAGCGACATACGAAGGTTTTCCAAGAATTCCCATTCACAAGAGTTTTATGACTAAATTTCACCCAAATGTTCGTAACTAAAGGCCACCATTTATCGTCGAATTCTGTCATCGAGACTTCGAATAGTTGTTGGACATTATAAAGTAACATACGTTTTTGATCACACGTAAGACCCGCTATCGAGTCCATTACCATTGTGTTTGGGGGACCTTTGCTGCAACAAGTCTACTGATTCAAAAATTTGTTGCGGAAATACCGTGCTTATTCTTTGAGAGGTGTTTTCTTTGCCAGAGATATTCATTATCGTTATTTGTTATTATTTGAAAGGAAGTTCTCGCTATGGTTATGATTTTTTTTATTTTTTCTTTATTTTAAATTTTTTAATTTAATTTTTTTTTTTATTTTAATTTTTTTTTTTTATTTTTATTTTTTTTTGTGAAAGTTTATGCGTGGAAGTTATTGTAAGCATTTAATTTTTTAATTTTTTTTTTTTTTTTTTTTGTGAAAGTTTATGCGTGAGAAGTTATTGAAAAGTGTTTATGCACTACTAGTCGATATTTAAAAAAAATCTCTTGATGTTTGTAGGCTTTCTTTTGCAGAAAGTCTTCTCTGGCAAAGTACCGTCAAGAGGTATTAAGTTTTTTTTTTATGTTTTGCCAATTTACCTTATATAGCGCATTAGTGAGATTATCAATCTTGAATTTGATTTGCCGTCATCGATAATATAATAGCTCCGGTCTCCGGACGGTCAGGCCGTCGGTCACGTGATCGGACCTGGCTTTACCGGTTCCCGTTTTTTGGTAAAGATCTGCAATTCCGTAGTACAAATTTTGGCCAAATTATTGACTGCGTTGTTACACTTATGTTATTTAGTGCAAAACCGCCTTATAAAGCCTCGGGGAGGGGATCCCCAGGGATTCCTAAACTACATAGCCTTAGGATACTTTTTGTAAAAAAAAATTTAAAGGATTTTTTAAAACTGATGGTTATTTTAAGATAATAAAAAAAGTTTTTGTTTTTTCAATTGAAATCGGGTTTTAGAATACACTTCTAATATATTTGCAGATCATTTCCATATCGCGTATAATCCTAGACTGGAATTCGGTATTGAGTAACTTGATGATCCGTCGATTTCTTTGTTCTTGAAATTTTCTGCTTAACATGCGTAAAGTCTAAAATTTCTGAATTTATATGATACTCGTAAAATTCAGCTCATGTGATATCAGATGGCTTGTTCCGCGACCTCATCCCTTACAGTACTTTGTGTTAAACACAGGGACATTTCAAAAACAATGAACCCATGTTATTTTGAGATCATGGACATAGCACTGAATTATTGTTAAGAAAATCGCACAATCGCGATCTGCAAAATTCGATCAAAAGATACATCATTTTGCAAACAGGAGTTGAAAATTTGCGCAAACTTCAAAAAAAGGTTTAAATGGAAGCTTTAGTAAAATTAACTTATTTTGAAAATAAGTGAGAGTTTAAATAAATCCGATTTCTAAAATCCGATTTCTATTTTGAAATTCTGAAATCAAAACCGAATTAGAGGCATTTTCTGATATATTGTCATCATATGGCATCGGGCTACTTCAGACAAAAACGAACGAGTACCAATTCATGTTCATGAATTAATCATATTTATCCTTATTAATTCAATAGTTATTTGATAAGCTACTATATTGAATTAATAAAGGTAAAAGATGATTAAGGCATGAATCGGTGCTCGGGTTTATTTTTGTCCGAATTAGTTCGATGGGAAATGATTTTCAAGGCAAAGACCCCATTAAAAAATAGAATTTAAAGGTCATTTATTTCGAAATAAAAACGCCACTAATTTTGTTCGAAATCAGAAATCCAATCATTAATTCTGAAACACCCTAGTGTTATCATTAGTATAAGAATCGAATAAAACAGTTTTATATCAATAGTTAAAAATCCTTCATTCTGATCATTTTTGAACAGAAATGGATGGTATTCTTAGCATAACGGATGAATTAGGGAGTTATGCATAATGTGCAGTATGGTACTAGTCGTACATTTGTGTTGTTTGAATTAAATATAGTATTTTCGTTAGGACTTGATGAAAAGAAATCATTATTTCTATGTATTTTGTGTATTTTGTGATGAAAAGGGGACTCTTCCCTTTTTATTAGGCTATATGATTCTTATAAGTTTTAATTAATAACATTCTCTACTTCATACATCAATATCATGTGTTAATATGTACGCCATTGTTTCATACAAGGGGCTTAGATAATCACACAATACTAATTTAGTTATATTCACCAATTATCGTTATACTATAAAAGGAGAAATTTTTAATCATAACACAAGACTAGCTTTAATCCTTAATAATGGGAAATGAGAAATTTACAAGTAGTAAATAATACGCAATTCACTACTATTAGCATCTAACCAAAGGTTTCATGTAACTGGCACAAGTCTACTTTAACGTTAAAACAACGAACACAAGACACGTACAAATAAGTTTGGATGTTCCGGAAGATAAACACCGAACTGTGTTTCATAAGTATACGAGCTGACCAACAATTCAGTGTTATAGACATTTTGTGGAGATTTAAAAAAGTATAATATTCTTTTTTGCTAGTAACAAAAATTAATAACTACAATATGTCAAATTCTTTTGAATATAATCTTCTTAATGCGGCCTTCAATTCAGTAATGAATGATAGAAATTTTGTGACGGAGAAGGAATTTAAAGATACAAAAGCACGTCATGAAATTGGCAATGTAGTCTATGAGAACATTGAAATTAATTCATTTCATCAGTACAATCTTGTTGGCGGAAAGGCACCTTCCAAACATATGAATAATAACGTTAAAATAGATATGAAAATTTTTTTGAAAACACTTTCTGGTGAATCTTATATACTCTATTGCAAAGGAAGTCATACTATTGATAGAATAAAGCGGAAAATTTCAGAAAAGAAAGGAATACCCCCAGACCGACAAAAATTAATTTTTAATGGTTGCGAATTAAAAAATGGTTTAACACTTGCTGACTATAATATTTCAAATAATTCAATAATTTATTTTGTACGCCATCTTAAAGGTGAAGAAAGTATAATCAGTTGTCTCAATTCTAATGATTTGGATCAAACTTACAATCGAGACTTTACAAATGTTAATGATGAAGGAAAAATATTTACCAGAGGAGGATTTCGGTATTTAAGACCATGTGGATGGAAGCGTATTGCTTTCTTTTCTGAAATTTTCCGCTTTATTCTATCAATAGTATGACTTCCTTTGCAATAGAGTATATAAGATTCACCAGAAAGTGTTTTCAAAAAAATTTTCATATCTATTTTAACGTTATTATTCATATGTTTGGAAGGTGCCTTTCCGCCAACAAGATTGTACTGATGAAATGAATTAATTTCAATGTTCTCATAGACTACATTGCCAATTTCATGACGTGCTTTTGTATCTTTAAATTCCTTCTCCGTCACAAAATTTCTATCATTCATTACTGAATTGAAGGCCGCATTAAGAAGATTATATTCAAAAGAATTTGACATATTGTAGTTATTAATTTTTGTTACTAGCAAAAAAGAATATTATACTTTTTTAAATCTCCACAAAATGTCTATAACACTGAATTGTTGGTCAGCTCGTATACTTATGAAACACAGTTCGGTGTTTATCTTCCGGAACATCCAAACTTATTTGTACGTGTCTTGTGTTCGTTGTTTTAACGTTAAAGTAGACTTGTGCCAGTTACATGAAACCTTTGGTTAGATGCTAATAGTAGTGAATTGCGTATTATTTACTACTTGTAAATTTCTCATTTCCCATTATTAAGGATTAAAGCTAGTCTTGTGTTATGATTAAAAATTTCTCCTTTTATAGTATAACGATAATTGGTGAATATAACTAAATTAGTATTGTGTGATTATCTAAGCCCCTTGTATGAAACAATGGCGTACATATTAACACATGATATTGATGTATGAAGTAGAGAATGTTATTAATTAAAACTTATAAGAATCATATAGCCTAATAAAAAGGGAAGAGTCCCCTTTTCATCACAAAATACACAAAATACATAGAAATAATGATTTCTTTTCATCAAGTCCTAACGAAAATACTATATTTAATTCAAACAACACAAATGTACGACTAGTACCATACTGCACATTATGCATAACTCCCTAATTCATCCGTTATGCTAAGAATACCATCCATTTCTGTTCAAAAATGATCAGAATGAAGGATTTTTAACTATTGATATAAAACTGTTTTATTCGATTCTTATACTAATGATAACACTAGGGTGTTTCAGAATTAATGATTGGATTTCTGATTTCGAACAAAATTAGTGGCGTTTTTATTTCGAAATAAATGACCTTTAAATTCTATTTTTTAATGGGGTCTTTGCCTTGAAAATCATTTCCCATCGAACTAATTCGGACAAAAATAAACCCGAGCACCGATTCATGCCTTAATCATCTTTTACCTTTATTAATTCAATATAGTAGCTTATCAAATAACTATTGAATTAATAAGGATAAATATGATTAATTCATGAACATGAATTGGTACTCGTTCGTTTTTGTCTGAAGTAGCCCGATGCCATATGATGACAATATATCAGAAAATGCCTCTAATTCGGTTTTGATTTCAGAATTTCAAAATAGAAATCGGATTTTAGAAATCGGATTTATTTAAACTCTCACTTATTTTCAAAATAAGTTAATTTTACTAAAGCTTCCATTTAAACCTTTTTTTGAAGTTTGCGCAAATTTTCAACTCCTGTTTGCAAAATGATGTATCTTTTGATCGAATTTTGCAGATCGCGATTGTGCGATTTTCTTAACAATAATTCAGTGCTATGTCCATGATCTCAAAATAACATGGGTTCATTGTTTTTGAAATGTCCCTGTGTTTAACACAAAGTACTGTAAGGGATGAGGTCGCGGAACAAGCCATCTGATATCACATGAGCTGAATTTTACGAGTATCATATAAATTCAGAAATTTTAGACTTTACGCATGTTAAGCAGAAAATTTCAAGAACAAAGAAATCGACGGATCATCAAGTTACTCAATACCGAATTCCAGTCTAGGATTATACGCGATATGGAAATGATCTGCAAATATATTAGAAGTGTATTCTAAAACCCGATTTCAATTGAAAAAACAAAAACTTTTTTTATTATCTTAAAATAACCATCAGTTTTAAAAAATCCTTTAAATTTTTTTTTACAAAAAGTATCCTAAGGCTATGTAGTTTAGGAATCCCTGGGGATCCCCTCCCCGAGGCTTTATAAGGCGGTTTTGCACTAAATAACATAAGTGTAACAACGCAGTCAATAATTTGGCCAAAATTTGTACTACGGAATTGCAGATCTTTACCAAAAAACGGGAACCGGTAAAGCCAGGTCCGATCACGTGACCGACGGCCTGACCGTCCGGAGACCGGAGCTATTATATTATCGATGACGGCAAATCAAATTCAAGATTGATAATCTCACTAATGCGCTATATAAGGTAAATTGGCAAAACATAAAAAAAAAACTTAATACCTCTTGACGGTACTTTGCCAGAGAAGACTTTCTGCAAAAGAAAGCCTACAAACATCAAGAGATTTTTTTTAAATATCGACTAGTAGTGCATAAACACTTTTCAATAACTTCTCACGCATAAACTTTCACAAAAAAAAAAAAAAAAAAAATTAAAAAATTAAATGCTTACAATAACTTCCACGCATAAACTTTCACAAAAAAAAATAAAAATAAAAAAAAAAAATTAAAATAAAAAAAAAAATTAAATTAAAAAATTTAAAATAAAGAAAAAATAAAAAAAATCATAACCATAGCGAGAACTTCCTTTCAAATAATAACAAATAACGATAATGAATATCTCTGGCAAAGAAAACACCTCTCAAAGAATAAGCACGGTATTTCCGCAACAAATTTTTGAATCAGTAGACTTGTTGCAGCAAAGGTCCCCCAAACACAATGGTAATGGACTCGATAGCGGGTCTTACGTGTGATCAAAAACGTATGTTACTTTATAATGTCCAACAACTATTCGAAGTCTCGATGACAGAATTCGACGATAAATGGTGGCCTTTAGTTACGAACATTTGGGTGAAATTTAGTCATAAAACTCTTGTGAATGGGAATTCTTGGAAAACCTTCGTATGTCGCTTTGCCAAACACTTTGAATCAAGTATGCGTAAAGAAGGCATTCCAAGTGAAAAATGACAGAAAACCAAGGTTCGAGAAGCAGAATTATGCCATGCAAAAATAAAGGTATCATAGTTTGTTGTCGAGCAAAAAGTGTGTGTTGAACGGTTCTCAGGTTTCTTGGACCATGCGCATGATTTGAATGAAAGTAACAAGCTTAAATGTTCCCAGGCCATTAGAGTTTTAGTAGAAAAGGAGGCAGTGAAAAATTATTCTACACCTGCAATAGTAAATGCAGTTAAAGAGTATGCATCTGAGAAGCTGGATCTTGGCATGAGTGTAAAGGAATTAAAGTGGAGGGAAGTTGCCAATATAAAGTACAAAGTCTGTGAACCACAAAACACTTATCTTATTGGCACTTTTAAACTAGCACCAGATATCCAAGATATAATTTCTTTTTTAAAAAAGGAAGGTTATCAAGTTGAATCGTATAAAACTTCTCGCCAATTCACCTCTGGTTTTGTTTTTACGCATCCAAAACAACTTGAAAAGCTTCAGCGATATGGATGGTTAACCCTCATAGATTCAACCCATAAGACCAATAAATATGACTGGTGTTTATTTACGCTGTATGTTCGGGATGGTATGGCTGCTGGGACGTCGGTGGACATTTTTTCGTTAGCAATGAAAATAGTGTTAACGTTGCAGCAGTATTAGTTATTGTTAGACGATTTTGTAGCACCTGGAAACCTCATTATTTTTTGGTGGATCAAAGCAGTATAGAGGCAAAAAGTATTATGACAGTCTTCCCGGGCCTTAGCAAAGGTGAACAAGAATGTGACATTATTTTTTGTACTGTACACATTATGCGGACATGGATAAATAAAATATACGAATCAGAAACTTGATCCAAAATGATTCAAGCCATGCATAAATGAACAAAAGTTGGTTGTGATATGTTTGTTCAAAAAGCAATTAATGAATGTACCCTTTCTCCCGTCAAAAAATACATCTCAAGATATTATTCGGAAAATACTCACCAGTGGGCCCTATGGGCCTGCTAGCACTCTCCACTACTTTTACAAATAACATCGACAAATGCTCTGGAGTCATATCATAGCGAGTTAAAAAGAACAACCTCACCTCAATATGGTCTGATCGGTGCATGCAATAAGATTGTTGCACTTGATCTGAAAAAATGATCAGATTCTGATTATGTCACGTTCGAATTTCATGTTAAAAAAATTTCTGCCATTGGTGTTGAAGACGATGTTCTTAAAGAAATTCATAAGTTTTCTTTTCCTATTCAGAAATTAATAATCAACGAAGTTCTTGCTCTTAACGATAGGATAGAGAAAGGTAAAGGATTGCCTGGCTTGTTGTCACTTGAATGTCATTGTCTTTTTTTTCGCAAATACATGCTTCCTTGCAAGCATATTCTCCACGAGCAAATGTATGGTCCCAGGAAATTGCTGACAGCTAAAGCTTGGAAACAATTTCAACAAATGTTTGACGAAGGTGGATTCGAAATTTATGAACATCGTGAGTTAGTAAGGATAGAATTTCCTGAAAAAAATGAAATCGACAAAGCAGCGGAAAATAGAAGACTTATAGTAAATGAGTTAATGGAGAGAACACGCAACGAGTATTGGAGCATTGAAGAAAGTGGCGGTGAAAAGGAAAAAGCTGAATTTATTCAAAAGTTAAAGTTTTGTTTAGATTCAGTCTTAAAAAAATAAATAAAATGCTTTAAAGCATTCGATATAATCATAAAGTAAGTATTAATAAATTAAAGTAAACCTGGCTTCGATTTTTTAAATTAATAACTTATCGGCTGAGCTGATAAGTTATTAAGTTAAAAAACCAAATTCAGGTTTCTTTTAACAGCGTTCAAATGTAATATTAAATATAATATTAATCTGTTTATATTATAAAATCTACGTAGATATATTTACGGTGGTACCATTTCCTTAGAAAATATTAATACTTATCATTTTGATCTTTTAATTGAAACTGGTCTTGAAAATTGGTTAAACGTATCCAGTTATTTTACTCAAAAATAAATTCCTTATAATTTTTTTTTACACTAATTTTAAGGGTAATTATCTA